TTTTTCGATTTTTCGATTTTTCGATTTTTCGATTTTTCGATTTTTCGATTTTTCGATTTTTCGATTTTTCGATTTTCGATTTGATTTTTGATTTTTGATTTTGATTTTGATTTTTGATTTTTAATTTTCGATTTTCAATTTTTCATTTTTCATTCTTCAGATTTCAGTTTTCATTTTTTAGTTTTCAGTTATCAGTTATTTGTTATCTGTTATCTGTTTTCTTTTATCTGTTACTTTTTATCTGTTATCTGTCATCTTTTATCTGTTATAAGTTATCTGTTATCTGTTATATGTTACCACCTGTTACCTGTTACCACCTTTTACCTGTTATCTGTTATTTTCCATATAGCATTGAAAATATCCTGTATACAATTGTATAACAGACTCAGATTTATGTGAGATGCCGGCAACGTCGCATGTGTTGTTGTTAATACCATACATGGCGTTATAAAATCTTCCATGTAGCAAATTGTATAGCAGACTTAGATTTATATGAGGATCGTCGCATAAATCTAGCTATAACACGACTTGCAAAAAAATGGCGCTTGACACTGACATATGTCAACCGTGTTCGTCTATGGATAGCAGTGGACTATGCTTTCTTCAGTGTATATGTTTTCTGTTTTGTAATGTCAATGTCATTGTCATAGGTAATTTTTTCTAACCTGGAAAATGAAATGTATTTTGTTTAAAATTAAAATTCAATAACTCCTATTGTGGGATGTGTGCATCTACAACATAATGAAAGGAAAAATTAAGATTCTGAAAGTTAATTCCGAAATATCATAGTAAGGAAATCCGTAAAACTAAAAAAAAAGTAAACATAAACACCTTGAGAAAACTTCTTCCGTATCAAGTGGTTAAAGTGGAGTTTTAAAATAATTTTTGTTGAAAATAAGGCCGTTAGTTTACAAGCAGGTATGTAACTGAGCGATCCGCTAATGTGTGTGTATCTTGCTTATAAAAAATGCTGTATTTAGATATTGCTATTCACATCAGCTACCGTTCTTTGATAGGATACTTTCAAATTGAACTTTTGTCTTATTTTTACTATTTATTGCAGGAGAACAGTTGTTGAACCAGGTCCTGGTGCATACTTATGTAGTTGTCACTTTGTGGATGGGAAAAAAGAAAATAGACCTACATTGTTTAGGTATAATAGGGAGAAGCAATTGAACTTTCCATCGCCAGAAAGAAGAACCCGTAAAAATAACAACAATGTGAAAATTGAACTCTATAATATGTTACTTCAAATTGGGCCCTTTTAAGGGATGTATGTAATAATTATGTGATCTGCAAAAATAAAAATAGTTTAGATACAACACATGGCATCATAAATTATTTTAATGTAGAGTTCAGTACTCGTATAGGTAACTTTCACTCCCCTGGCAGGCTTAATCTAAGCGATATCACAAATATGTCTATACCAAGTTACGATTATACTGTGCAAGAGTACTTATCTTACAAATTTTGACAAGTAATGGTGTCTGTTGTTTTGCCAAGTCTTGGAAGTCACAAGTTCTTAAAGCAGCTACATTCTAAATCGATTTAGATCAAAATAAACAACTGCAGTGGCTGTGAAAGTCTTAGTAATTTTGAAAACTTTGGTAGTAGATATTATCAATGCTATTTTTCAGCGCTTTGCATATTCCTTCATCTGCTTGATAATATTTGCCAATCGAAGGGATAGATGACAAGTTTGTTTACTTATTTTCCATTTATACATACTACTCAGGTGAGATACTACTACTACAAGGTTTTTACAATATTTATGAGTTTGTTGGTGGTAAAGTTCTTCGTTTGGGAAAAATTCAACAGAAGCAGATGAACAATGCTCGCTTTATGATCTGGAGAAAAATGTGCTATCGCTTTAAAATAAAATTTCCTCTATTTTTTTTAATGTTGTATGATTATGATCAATCAATTAGAAACATGACATATAATAATAACATCTCAAAAAATTAGACCAGAAGCTTGAAATTATTAAGTACTATAGTTGTTGGACAGTAAGTAATAGTATCGCTTGAAAATCAAATTTTGTAATCTGTTTCCTCTGATTCAATAATGAATTTTTCTGTAATCTATGATTAAGATCAGTCTTAGAAACAGGACAGATGTGAGTATCCTTGAAATTAGACATATAATAATAACATCTTTAAAAACAGAATAGAAATTTGAAATCATCAAGTGCTATAGTTTTTTGACAAGTAATGGTGTCTGTTGTTTTGACAAGTCTTGGAAGTGACAAGTCCTTAAAGCAGCTACATTCTAAATCGAAGTACATACATTCTGCATTGAGATCAAAATAAACAACTGCAGTGGCTGTGAAAGTCTTAGTAATTTTGAAAACTTTGGTAGTAGATATGATTATCAATGCTATTTTTCAGCGCTTTGCATATTCCTTCATCTGCTTGATAATATGTGCCACTGTTAGCCAGCTAATAGGTCTACATATTTAGACAAATTGAACTGAGGGTCAAGACTGAACTCTTACTGAACTTCATAGAAGTGACTGACTACTTACGTTTGCAATAGAAACACATAAACTGTAAACACTTCACAACACTCACTATTTGTAGTTGCGATTGCTTGTTCTAAGCTTCTAATTAATCCTTATTAACGGGAGCCTCATTGTTAAGATTTCGATAATGTTTACATTCATACATTGTAGGTTAGAATGATGCAATGTGATGCAATCAGACATACGCTTTATATCAATCGGTTAGAAAAGCGGAGCTTTATGCCATATTGTAAAATTATAACATGAATAGGGGCTTACAATCATATTTTTATAGTATTTATAAACCGATGATGATTTCAATAAATTGATGAACGTCAAAGAATAATTGCAGCCTTTGGCGGTAGACATCGCAATCTGTCAAAATAAAAAACTACTAGATTCCTACGATTTTAATGGCTCTAGTCCGGTCCGTTTAGACAATGGAATATAGAAATTTTGAATCTTTTCGAAAATGTTGATTTTCACGCGCAAAAAAGGACAATTCTATTTGGCGTGATCCAATATTGGATGCAGCGATAGTCATGAAGCCGAAAATGGCACGTTTTTGACGTTCCGCTCGCACTCGCTCGCTTTCGTAATACGATCGTATCTACAATACCCCGCCTAACAGGAATCCGGGGATCTGGAGGGGAAATTCAAAATTGAAACTTCAAACTAAAAATGTGTGCATATTTTTGAATTTTGTAATCTGCCGAGTTTAAAAAATGCGATCGGGTAACGTGCCGTATGTCGGTTTAATCAGGAGACTTTGGCCTGTCGTTTTGCGAAAAAAAATCGTAGCTACGTCGCTCCGTAACGCAGGTGCGTATCGACGAAGACAAAGTACGCCGAAAAACGGTTGTCATCGGTACTTTTGAGGCGCTCAAAGTTTACTTTTTCGAAATTTGACGGTAATTCTGACGGTCAGAATCGTTTCGTCAGCTCATTATCGTTATTTTTCGATAGCTGTATAATTTTTACTCGCTCACGTACGGTAGTAATAAGCGAGGACAGAGCCGGATGACAAGATGACTTTTTCACGCGTCGAAAAGTAGCGTATTGTCGAGGAATTTTTAAAAAATCGAAACTTTTCAACGTAAACGAATAATAATGATGAAAATAGTATTAAAAGAGTGTCCGAAGCATGGACTTTCTCACGCAAAAATCGTCAGGTTCGTAGCTCCTTCATCTTCGGAGGAGATAGCTGATTTACGGCGAAGCAGCGCGCTTTATACGCAAAAAAGTCATTCTTGACGACGTTCGAGGTTCGTTTATTCGAAACGGGTACCGTAAACGAAAAAACGTCTCTCCGCATAATTTGTAGCGCTCGCCGAGATGTACGAAACGCGACGCGCGAAATTCCTTTTCTCATCGGCATAAGGGAGATATCGTAGTTTTCAAGGCGATTCGTCGTTTTTGTCGCTTTTTTTTCGAACATTTCTAGAAAAAAAACCGAGACGCGGAACCAAACAGATTTAGCTAATAGGCACGTATTTTTCGTTTAGCTATCGAACGAGACCGATCTCGAGTCGATATTTCGATAAACGGCGAAACCAGTGTGAAATAACGCCGCGTACCGTCCGAAAAACGGTCGATTTTTCGACTTTACCGGCCGTTTTCGATCCGATCCGTTCGTCTCGCCGCGACGGCTCTCGCCCGCCCGTAAAGCGCCGAGTTTCTACTTTCCGAAACGGTACCTCTTTCCTTCCGGGCGTTTCGCGAACCTCCTAAAAAACCGGAAAAACCGCGTCGACGTCGCCCGCCCAAAATTTCTAACGTCACGTGACCTCTTCCTTAAAACAATCGATCACCGCTTAATATAGTCGATGGGAGTTATGTTTACAGGTAAATTCGATGTGTAGATTTTGTTTCTGGGTAAAATTTTGTTCTTAAATCCAAGCATAGTTGCCATGGAATTGGACAGAGCAATATCGAATACAGAATACAGAAACACCCTTCAAAGTATTAGTGTTGGCTTTCAAAGAGAACATTTCATCAACTTTGTTTTCATATCTCTCTTTATATGTATCATTCATTGATATTATTTCATGTTGTATGTATTTATTGATATCTTCGATTTCATAAACACCTTCAGGAAGGGTTTCCACATTACTCTCGTCACCCTCGTGAGTAAGAGATATTTTATTATGTTGATCATCCATATTGTATATGGTGTTGTATGAATAAAAGCCAATCAACCCCAGACCATATTCCGCACTTATATCCAACTCGATTGGTGGATAAAAACTAGCAGAAAGTTTGCTAGTGTAACCCGTTAGAGTAAGTGTGTTGACATGACTGAAGACTTGATGAATGAAAACATGGTCTTATATAGGTAAAAAAATATTTATTGATTACAACAGTTGTTTGATTCAGATGTATTTTTAACATTGATATCTTGCATGTTACAGTAACAACTAACAAATATTTTTCTTGGTGGCGGTCCATCTGCTTCATTATCACTCCTGCTTATTCCATGGTGTTCCCAGCAGAATTGGAATCACTGTATATCAGCGTCCTCCTTCAAATGCTCCGGCAGTTTGTTCCATGCATGTGCTATTTCATTTGGCGTGCAGCATATGAGTACCTCTTTCTGTATGTGTGCAAGTTCATCTCGCGTCATATTCAACAGGCTTCTCTCCCTTGAAAAGGCTTTAAGAGAGTCTCTTATCTTTTTCAATCGTTCGTGATCCATTGTCTTCAGCGCTCTGATGTTTCTTCAGACAGAAATCGCAGACACAAATGACCACACCAAAACGTATCGAACTGTTGTTGTCGATTATAATTGTACAAGATTTTTATCTTTTGTGACTTGTTGGTCAAATATTTGATTAGCTCCTTGGGTGGGGGTAGATTGCCGAAACTATCATAGTACCATACAACCATCCCACGTTTTATATATGAAACCCAATGTGACCCATCCCCACTCTTGTTATCTAAATTAATTATGACTGATTCATTCTTTAGCGGACCCTGCTCGGACATTTCATCGCGCATAAATACTCCTTTGAAATATGGTATTTTTAGCTTCCTATCATAATAGATTAGATCTATATTTATTAGAGTTTGAGGGGGAACGGCTTTCAATAGTTTTTTGAATTCCTTAACTTGATGAATAACCCCAATCCTTTACGGTATGGTTTCAGAAGAGATCATCCCCAATTCGATTCTCATTAGAAGAAGGTGGTGAAGTGCTTTTATTTTGAATTTGCTCACGCACTGAACTAGCTGTTTTAGCAGCTCTTGTTATGTTGGCAATACACCCAGCTAGACTACCTAATGCTGAAAGACCGGCAAAAATTGGTATCAAAGGAAGGATGCCTCCAACCTTGGGAATAGGTATAACTCGTGGAAGCTGAATCAGCCGTTTTCCACCGATGGATCTGATATGCTTCCGGGCAGCAAGTAATGCAGCGGAAGTCGCCTTTGCTAATACTCTTTTGTCTGGTTTACAGTTTGCGAACCTTTTCATGTGTTTGCATACTTTATTCACTATCCCCGATCCCAAATGTACCTTTTTCTGTGATCTACTTGATTTTATAGGGATAGCTTTTATTTTTTTGGCCCACGCCGTGATGCATGTCCTCCCATACCTATACGACGTTTGACTTTCATAATACCCGATGTTCTGCGGATGTATTTTCTTCTACTCCGTCCACGACACGATGCTAGACCCATTCCTGCGTGACGTTTTAGTTTCATGATATTAGTAACTAACCAAGCGGCAGCTTTTTCTACAAGTTTTGCGTCTGGAGATTTGACTCTTTTTCAAGCGTCTTGCTCAAGTTGATAATCAGCAACGTGTCTCGCTGTGAAATCAGATTTCTGATATGCAATATCATACTGTAAGCATGCAGCGTCTAATTTATTATTGCCTTTCTGACCTAAGGCTAACCTTTTTTGAAGACGTGTCCCTGGACCGCAGAACTGGTAAGAAGGTAAGTGTACTTCGAATGGTAACTTATCTATCAGCGTATCGACAAAACCACCACCAGCAGCTTTTGGAGTGCTTTGACACATTCTAATGCGAAGTAGTGGCATTTAAATAAATAAGACATACGCAATTGCAGTTTATATATGCCCAACTCGTTGTACAATGAGGGTCACAAAACAGAAACAAGAATTATGTATCAGCAATATTGATACAAAAGTGGCGGATATACAAAACAATGCTATGCAGCGCCATGGAAGTCTTCTCATCCACAGTCCGCTGTATTATTGTTGGATCATCGAACTGTGGAAAAACCAACATATTAATATCGTTACTGCTACATGAGAATGGACCGAGAATCAACCGAAATATCAATTTATACAGAAAGTACTAACTTTGGTCAATGGTTTAGGTTATTATGCATTTAACAATAATGCTGATATCTTACCGCCATCGAAAGTCAAGCCGAATTCAATATTCATTTTTGATGACGTAATGACAGAAAATCAGACTTCTATTCTAGAATAATTCAGCATGGGTAGGTACAAAGGTGTGGATTGCTTCTATTGTGTGCAGAGTTACTCCTGGGTGCCTAAAAGAGTAATAAGAGACAATTGACCTAATTGTCTTATTCAAGGTGGATAACACACATTTATCTCATGTTTTCTCCGATCATGTAGCACCTGATATGACCTTTAAGAAATTTCAAGACATGCGTGCAATGTGCTGGAGCGATAAATACGGATTCTAAGGCTGAAAACATAGTGGAGCGGCGAGATGAGCGACGAGGAGAGCAGAGAGCAGAGCGGCGATTGAGTGTCGCGGTGATAAAAGAGATGCCTGCACATAGTAGCGCGATCAAAACAGAGAGATGGATCTGTTGTTAGCAGAAAATTCTTCTCTGAAAATTTGGTATTTTCTGAAAAATAGGAAGAGAAGTTGTAGTGTTCATGAAATAAATAAAAGTAGGCATGTACATGGTGAATTTCATCACCTGTATGAAGAACTAAGGCAGCATCCCGAGAAGTTTAAGTCTTATTTCCGAATGAGTATTGTAACCTTTGATTATATTGTGAAGAAAATTCAGCATAAGTTAGTAAAAAGTTGGGCCAACTTTAATTGTAACCCTATTAGCCCAACAGAACGAGTTGCACTGACCTTAAGGTAAGTAAACGTGCACACTTTCAATTTTATATTTTATTCAGAACGAAAACCCAAACTAAAATGAAAGCACAAACATTACTCATATAGCTGTACCTATGTGAAAATATTAAAAATCATTAAGAGATTCTTCGGAAAAACTGGTCAAATAAGATCCAACTGATGCAGGATTCGAGGAGACCCTTAGAGGCTGCAAATCAATTATTTGGGATGAATTTACTTCATATACATCATGCATATTTTGAGCTTGATGATTACTTTGCCTTTGAGTAGCTTGACTAGGCGGCTGATCATTGTAAATAAAGTTATAAACAAGTTCCTGAATTCTCATTCTTAATAACATTTTTCTTTGTGGGGTGAGCGGGCGAATGTGTGGTAGAAGGCTGTCAAAAAAGCAATCGTCTTCATCAAGGGTTTTTTTCTCTTTTTCTAGAATCCTGAGTTTTTGTTCTTCTAATCTTATAAGTGCAGCACCAACATCTGTGTCATTTTGGTTCTTTCGTTTTAATTTGTTAACAGTAGGTGTGATAGTTAAACTGCTTTTGTTTTGAGACGAATCGTTCGTCAGTGGTAATTTATCGGCATAAGTAGAATCATCCAAGTTTGGCTTATTTGGTTCTGATCGGTGTTCTGATAACTGGGTGTTTGTTTCTTCATCCAGAATATTGATGTTTTGCTCAGTTTCGGGCAAATTTCCGGTGCTTACTCGGGCAGTAAATTGGTCTTTTAAAAAATAAAGACTATCAAAATATTGCCAAGATGATGTCCAAGAGGATGCCTCATCCCCCGATCGTTGTACTGGCTTTTTTTTAAGTTCTTTGCGAAATGTGTCTCGCAAGTTTTTCCATTTTGTCCTCACGATACTCCCTGAAATGAGAAAATATTTTTACCAGAATTTAAGCTTGAAGAAGTTTTTTTTTCAGGTTTTTGGCAACGGGATCATCTTTTAAAACTCTTAGTTTTACTTTTCGAATGGGTGCTACGACCGTGTCATCAATTGTGCGAGAAACAGTAAAAGCTATGTGGGACATATTACAACCTCTGCATATGAAACTTCCTACCGAAAATGACTTCAAGAACACTGCAAAAGAATTCTACGAAAAATGGAATTTTCCCAATTGTCTGGGGGCAATTGACGGAAAACATATTCGTGTGAAATGTCCTCCTCACTCTGGAACTATGTACTATAATTACAAAAACTTCTTTTCTATTGTTCTCCAAGCTGTTACTGATGCAAATTATAGATTTATAACGATTGATGTTGGAGGGTATGGCAAGCAGAGTGACGGGGGTACATTCCGATCCTCATCTCTATTTCATCTGATTGAGAGTAAACGTCTAAATATTCCTGAAGATGGTACATTACCGCTCACTATGATCACTGTACCCTATGTTTTTATCGGAGATGAAGCCTATCCTTTATTAAATAATCTAATGAAACCTTTTAATAGAAGAAATTTAGATGCAGAAAAAGAATATTACAATATGCGCCTTTCACGTGCAAGACGTGTAGTAGAGTGTGCTTTTGGAATCATCAGTGCCAAGTTTCGTATTCTTTTCAAGCCCATAGAAGCCTCTCCAGACTTAGCAGATGATATTATTAAGTGTATCTGTATTCTACACAATACAATAATTGATATAGAGGGCATTCCAATTCAAGATGAACAATTTTTGTCCCAATCCGAGTCTCAATGTAATAACTCGGACGTTGTGCGAGCAAATAATAGGCCAACAGCATCTGCCACTTTTATTAGAGAGACGTATAAAAATTACGTATGTAGAAATAAAATTTAAAAATATATACTCACTTGTTGTTTTCATTTCTTCGGCCACAGCATCCCACAGTTTATCCAAAACAAAGCGGTTATGGTGCTGAGAGTCTTTCTGATCCCATAGGGGATTTTTAACAAAAACACTAGTAATAAATGCATCAACATCCATTTTTAATACACAGTATTTCCGCAGCGAGGAGAGCAGAGAAAACAAATCTGCTTGGTCTCGCCGCTATCCTCTCTTATAGCAACGCAGTTACCTCGCTTGAGCTCGCCTCACTATGTTATACTCGATTGGAACTATTGCTTTTGTTTTCGCCGCTCTCCTCTCTGCTCTGCTCGTCGCTCTTCTCACCGCTCCACTATGTGTTCAGCCTTAGTCATCGATAAGGATAGCGAACTGACAAGTGGTCGTTACCGGAAGGGGTTTGATAGTTTCATAAATCCAGTGGAAGATTAGAAACACCATCAATCAATCGTGGGACTGCATCTAAAAGCATTAAAAGGTACCAAAATGAAACGGCAGTAGAATAACACCGAAGCGGCACTCAAGAAGGAATTGCAGCAGAGTCAGTTCGGAAGAAATTTATTGCTATCAAGAAAGGACGTGAATTTCATGATAGTGCATTGCAGCAGGTATACAGGGTTTGTCCGGAAAGTAATAGGACTGAGTCGATTTAAAAAAATTTATTGAGCCAATCGTTACAATTCTTTAAAAACTTTCAAAATAGGCTCCTTCTGCGTCGATGCAGCGCTGCCAGCGCGATTTCCAAGCATTGAAGGCGTCACGGAAGGCATTCTCCGGAATAGCCTTGAGAGCCGCGCTGCATGCTGCTTGGATCCTCTCTGTCGTCTCAAAATGCTTGCCTTTCATCGGCCTTCTTAGGCGAGGAAACAAAAATGGCCTTGGTAGGGTAGCTGTTCACAAGAAAGGCGGTGTGAGCCGGGGCGTTATCGAGGTGCAACTTCTAGTCGGCTGCGATGTCTTGTCGGACCCGACTGACCCTTCATTTGAGTCTCCGGAGCACTTCCACGTAAAGCTTGGCGTTGACGGTTTATTCAGGAAGAAAAATTCATGGTGGACGATGCCTCTGATGTCAAAAAAGACAATGAGCATCGCTTTCACTTTGGATTTGCTCATTCTTCCCTTTTTTCGGCGAGGATACGCCGTCGTGTGCCACTGGGAAGGTTGCCTCTTTGTCTCGGGATCATACTCAAAGATCCACGACCCGTCACCTGTGATTACGTTATTCAAAAATTGGGGGTCACTTTCACACATGTTCAAATTTTCTTGGCACACTTCCACTCGCCGCAATTTCTGGTCGTCAGTGAGCATTTTTGGGACCATCTTCGCGCACACCTTGCGCATGTTCAAATGCTGTGTTACAATGTCATGAACTACAGATTTTGGTAAATTTAACATCTGGGCAATTAAACGAATACTTAGTCGACGGTCTGAGTTCAAAACTTTGCGCACACCAGTCACATTATCGGTGTTTGTCGAATTCGAATGTCTTCCAGCACGGTCTTCATCAACAACCTCTTCCCACCCCTCCAAAAAGGCCTGGTGCCACCGAAACACACCACTTCTTCCTAAAGCAACACCTGGGTAAGCCTGCTTGATCATATCAAACGTCTCTGTCGCAGATTTACCGAGTTTCACACAGAATTTAATCGCGTACCTCTGCTCTAACGAACGCTGCATTTTCGGCTTGCACTACTCACAGAAACACGTCGCGCGAAAATGCCTGAAGTACAGTCATGGCGGAAGAAAATGAGTCCTATTACTTTCCGGACAAACCCTGTATAAGCCCATTACTAAGCAGCTTAAAACAATAGCGGAAGCATCTACATCCAGCTTGTCGAAACAGTCAACACTCCAAATCGATAGTCTAAGCATCCTAAAAAAAGTGTCATTTGATGAATCAAGAAAGAAATATTTTATCCGACAAAATCAGGTGTAAGAGGTGCTTGAGAACAGTAGTGAATTCAATGACCATACATTTGAGCAGATCTTTCCACCGAATACACGCACACCTAGGGCACAATCTATGGAATCGGATAAATCAGGAAACGCATCATTTGGTAACTTGACTCATACTAAAGTTTCTATTAAGGCCCCGATGCAAACGCAATCTGACACACATTCATTACTCGGAGCGCATGAAGAAAATTCAATGAGTAGATACATGTCTACTTCAAATCATAGTGAAGCATCTGGATCTTTGACCAACTTGATAAATAACCAGATATTTGAAAGCAAACAATCCAGGGTATGGAGGCATATACAATGTGAGAATAAATCCACAGTCGGACAAGTTATTATTAGGCAAACTCCAAGTGAGCTTTGATATTGGTGGACGTTACCTGCTATTGGATTCTGAGAACAAGAAGGAGAGAATAAAATTTAAAATGTCTCCCGAATTACTCGATTTGATATTTTTGGACAAACTGCCTGATACAAAGAATTTAGACTCCCGAAACTTGAACACATTCAAAAATATAATGATTAAAACTAATGTACTTCGTAAAGCATATTGTTCTACATATGACTTCAGAAACGATGGAACTGAATATTTTGCTAAATTGCTGAATATCATATCAACATCATCGCTCAGACGCCTGAGATCATCAGTGGGTATGTATTTGAAAGCACCCAAATATAAAATATATAAAGATAAGCAATATGATTATGTATATTGGAATAATATCAATGAGTTAATTTATAGACTGAGGCTGCTATATAGCTCAAAAATGGCTGGGCATGCACACAACGATAATGAAATGATATCAATAATAGAAGAACTGCGTGAAGAGGGTGTTATACGTTGATTCGCATATATTTTTATTTGTCAACCTAGATTATATCACATCACTTACAGATATGCCTTCAATGCAGCGTGAGGTATGGACGTCGCGCGTCAAAATGGCATAGCGTACGTGGTATACCTGGCATTGGCTTCAAACTAACTACTAATGGTGACTATGATATTGAAAAAAAACTGATGAAGAATGCTGGTGATCCTGTGGACAAAAACGATGCTGTGACTGTAAAGTATATTGAAGAAACCATGAATAAATGTGTAACCGAAATGGGTAAATTGATGCGACTAGCAGTTTCCAATGTTTTAAGTGATTCAGTGACATACTGCAACGATAAGGTGCTGGAAAGTAAACGTGACTTTGACAAAAAGTTTAACGAGTTGAGTAGGATTTTAAACCTATCACTTCCATCTAAATAAACTAGATACCTGCAAATACAAGCTCATTCCATCAGTAGTGAATATGTCTATCGTAAGCGAAACAAAACGTGGTATAGCCAAGGAGCTACATATGGCGGCTCGAAGGAATTTCCCCCGCGGAAGAAGTATCATAAAGGGTTTCGCTGACTTGTGGCAAGCTGATTTGGCTGAAATGCAATCATTCAGTGAAGATAATGATGGATATAGATACATATTAGTAGTTATCAATTGCTATTCTAAGTTCATGTGGTGCAGACCAATTAAAAGGAAAGATATGGTAACCGTAACTATTGCAATGGATGATATTTTACAAACAGCTACCCATTACCCAAAGAACCTACAAACGGATAATGGATCGGAGTTCTACAACAGCAAATTTTCCGCTCTGATGCACAAGTATGGGATTAATCATTATTCCACATATAGTACAAAAAAAGCAGCATTAGTTGAGAGAGCTATCCGATCATTAAACACCTACTTTTCACTGAATTTTCAGTCTGGGGAAGCTACCGGTGGATCAATATCTTAGCAGATGTTACTGATTTTAATAACAACAGGGACCATCGAACGACAGGTGTAAGCCCCATCGGAGTCGACTTCCATACACGATTGAATGTGTACAATCATCCAAAAGTAGCTGGAAAAGGGAAGCTTAAGCCTGGCGATATCGTCAGAGTAAGCAAATACAAAAGTCTGCCGTGATGGAAAATACAATGGCTCACATCTCGCCTTCAAAATCGTTAAACCAGATGAAGCACGTAATTGAAAGAACAAAGAAAACCACCACCAAGCAGCCGAACAGTCAAACTGGTATCAATGCTTTCAAAGAAAGTATAAGGCTAATGAAATCAGACAACCAAAATACCGAGCGACAATTGGCAGTGGAAATGGATAAGAGTCAAAAACTGCGACAACTTCTTCATCAAGACGAGGAACTTCTAAAACAGTTGGACGAGGACAGAAGGAGGAAACGGCAAATGGACGAAGTGATGAAAAGGGTTGACAACTTGAAAGAAATGGCACAACGGAAGAGGGGCAAGCTTTTAGAAGAAAAAGAAACACTTTTACTTTTATTTGATGTTTGAAAATGTACATATATATGTATAATGTAATAAACCTAAAAATTGATTTTTAATTTATTTTTTTTCCGTCATGTATAATACGTGTATCATAATTCTCAAAAATAATAGATTAGGTGTGGTCAAATAGAGGTGTGTTTGTAATTTTCGAAATACTTATTATTCCTTTAATTAATAAGTATTTTCTCCAGGACTGTTTTTCAAAATCCGGCAGACCTATCAACATTTATTGACCGTTTGTTGCCCATACGTTCCTTGACTATACAGGTGTCCGCAAAGTTGGGGTTTTCCTTTACACGACGTGTAGATCTTGAAAACATAAGCAATTTTTCTTAGTACCATATACACCAATGTCTTAAGGGAACCGAGATAAAGGGCTCTGCAACATCAAAAATATCTGAATACCGTCCTGTAGCCGCCACCCGCCGCGATGTCCCACACTGGTACTGGCTACTAGCTGAACCCGACGGCAGAACTTGGTCGGGGGTCGGGGTCAGTGTGTCAGGTCAGTATGCAACCTTCAACCGACGGTAAAGGGTCACGCGTATAGAGGTAGCGAACCCGTATAATCGATTGCGTTTCAAAAAAAAAAAGAAAATAATAATGGCACACTCATACACCAATAATGAACTCGTTGATATGTTGTTAATTTATGGCGAATGTCTTCAAAATAATACAGAATCGTCGCGAGAGTATGCAGATCGTTTCCCTAGACGACATCTTCCAAGGCCCTGCAGATTTGTGTACCTACCTACCATTTGGAGGAATTTCGAGGTGGGCACAGTGGGAGGTCTAGACAACCACGAATGGTGCAAGTTGAAGAAGAACTACTGAATCGCGTAGACGAGAATCCCTCGACAAGCACTAGAGACGTGGCTAGAGAAGTGCAAGTATCAAAAACTAAAGTGTGGCAAACGTCCAACGTGTACAAGCCCTTCAACCTGATGATTTTCCAGCAAGAGTGCGGTTTTGTGAGTGGTTGTTGCATCAACATGACAATAATCCGGACTTTTTGGTGCATATTGGTGACAGACGAATCTACGTTCACGCGTAATGGGGTGAATAACTTTCGATTTCAGGCAGAGACGTACTTAGCCCTTCTTGTCAACTGGAGAGTGAGTACTTTTTCCTTTATTTTTTTTTAGTTGGTCGCCCTCGTTTCACTACACATTACCTTTGTTATTTCAAGGGTAGTTGTTTCTGAAAAGGAAAACCCCAACTTTGCGGACACCCTGTATATACTAAATGACTGTAAGTCATTTGTACGGATAAGACCTTTATCTTTTAAATTTGAAAATATGTGTGCGAAAAAATTACAAATATATATGTTATATATTATACAAAAATAATAAATATAACAATCAATACATAAAAAACTAGGTCTAATAATCAAGTATACATAAGTATACAAAAAAAACTAAATGTATCATTTCTATCCGTGAGACCTTCGATCGTACCATGAGTCAATTAAATTCCATAATATAATATATGGGGTGACAGCTGGGGTGCTACCTGCAAGAAGTATATTTCTAACCTAGAAATCTCAAATGCTGACCGTGAGACCTTCGCTACTAGCACAGGTGAAATTGCGTAGACTTGTGGCAGAAATACTAAGCATTCCATGTTGAAAGTTGTCCCAAAACACTATACAGTGCCTTTATTCAAACCCTTATAATATATAGCATGACAGCTTGGAGTACCACCTGCCATATATAGCAGCAGGTCCATACACGGAAATACTAAACACTCTTTATAGATAGTTTTCTGGGAATAGTGTAATAAAAAAAGCCCCTTCTTTCACCAGCAGCCATTTCTATTTTGTCTTGTGTGGATGTTGTCGAATATTCGGACGCATATTATGAGAAGAATTCCTGAACGCACAATCGAGCTTGCCCTGTCATGCTATATATATATATATATAACTTGAGACGTGGTCATTGTCGTCTAGACCAGTTAGGTGAAAAATTAAAGCTTCCGCCTTTTGTTGGGTACTTCGACAAAAATTCAAGCAAAGAGGACTCTTTATACTTTTATTATTCTCTCTAGCTTTCAATGGACTTTGCCATCATCATCAGGAGAGTAGTATGTGAGGATGTTGCTAATTGTTGTTTACTTTCAGGATGAGGGAAACGCCCAGTAACATGGTGAAAGCTAGATAGATGGTACAATGGTCAAAATTGTATAAAATACACACAACTGTGTGACAAGAACAAGTTAAAAACAGATTAAACATTTTTTAGAACATGAAAGCATTACATCGTGAAACCACTTGATGATTGCAATCATCCAGCTTTCACCATGTTACTGGGCGTTTCCCTCATCCTGAACGTAAACAACAATTAGCAACATCCTCACATACTACTCTCCTGATGATGATGGCAAAGTCCATTGAAAGCTAAAGAGAATAAAAAAAGTATAAAGAGCCCTCTTTGCTTAAATTTTTGTCGAAGTACCCAACAAAAGGCGGAAGCTTTAATTTTTTATATATATATATATATATATCACAGAGGAGTGACTTTCTATCACAGGCATTGTATTGGGCAAGCCTCACCCCATTCAGGTGGTTGGCAATTCTCAATTCGAATTTATGGCAGCTATCATTGTTAGTGTATACAATTTGTACGTTGTGTATCTTCAGCTATCGTTATCTTTAATGTGAAATTTGAAAATTTCCAGAAGGCTGAAGACATCTGTCAGAAACTTAACATCACCTTCACTCAATTGATGGAAAAATGTTAAGGCATTACCATATAATGTATTCATGTATTTATCATGCGTTGATGTTCTTCAATGAAATAACAACAACTCAATATGTCAGGTATTTATTTAATAAGAATGCATTGTATAATCCTATAGTAAACTAAATAGATAGTGTTCAATCCTCATACACGAGGTTATATTTGAGGATAATTTCCGGAGGTAAATACCTTGCAATCGCACACAGAAATGATCTAAGGTTATAATTAATCATCTCACTACAAAACTGTTCAATACTACAATCTTCTTGTAGATACTGCGCACCCAACTTCTGCCCTTCCTCGTATTTCCGAATTAGTCTCCTGATCCTTTCAACCTCATTATCATCCCAATAAATATTCATATCGTAGTTTGTTGAATGTTCAGCGTCATGCATCAAATCGGTTAACTGGCACACTAATTTCATGACAGCGGTACGTAGATCCTTTGAATCAGGCCAACGCAATGATGCATAATGCATCCACATCTTGTCAAACCAAAGGGGGTGTACTGCTTCTGGAAAGATAAATATAATGGTCAATATCAAGTGGAACATGATATTTGTCAAAACAACTTTACCTGCTGCATTTTCCTAACCCAGTTCCAATCTGA